CTAGAGCAATGTGTCATCTTAAAGGCTTTCCCCCAACAAGGCATCTCCCTCGCACATGTCAAAATCATACGTGATTTGAAAGATGTTACATAATGGAGATATTAGTGACAATCCTCTTTGTAACATCGACTGAGGGATAAAATAAAGAGATGTATTCTTGGTAAAGCTGTTTGCCACAGTCCTTGATGGGGTTCACCCATACCATTGCTTCCACCTGCAGATGACGCTGTGTTGATTGTAAAAACCTCTTAAATAATATTTAAACATGGTATTTAGTGGAAGAAAAGCATCACATTAAATAACATAAGGGAATGAAGGAAAATTAGTTTGGCCTAACTATCCATACAGGGAAAAAAAACAAAAACAAAAACAGGAAGGATACCTATTGTCCAAACAATGATATGTGGTTGGATGGACAACCCACAAAGCTGGTTCATCAGTACACACATCTAGTATAGACACTGTAGATCAGGGGTTCTTAACCTGGAGTTCATAGGTCAGTTGATGGATTTCAGGGGGCCTGGGAAATTGTATGGGAAAATTTTTATCTTTATTTGAATATACTCATTTCCTTTATAACCCTATATATTTTATTTTATGTATTTAAAAACATGATTCTGAGCTTCACCAGACTATGGCCAAAGGGGTCCAAGGCACAAAAAAGGTTAAGAAGTCCTGCTATATAGAACCAGAAGTAGAAAGGAACCCAAAGGGCTGGATTTATTTTGAGTGACTTCACAGTGCTTTTAATGAGCCTAAGCTTCTCCTGGAAGAAAAGGATAATCTATATAGACATAGATATATTGATACATTCCTCTGATGATCTAGATGACTGTGAATCATGGACTAACATTCTCTGAAAAATTAAAATTGAGGGTCATCATAGAATGAGAGAGAGATACATAGTGGGCAGGGGTAAGCTACAACATAGTTCCAATCAAGAATTCCACAAGAGTAGTAATCTAAAGGGCATAATCAAAGATGATTAAACATGCTGCCCTCCTCTCATTGAGGACTGGGGGGTGGTGGAGACTAGAGCTGTGGACTTATTATATATGCTGTCAGATGCAGCTGCTGTGTTGTTTGGTTTCATTTAGCTGTTTTTTCTATGTTGCAAGGCGGGTGGGGTGGGCATATTGGGAAATGACAGCAGTGTTTAAAAAAAGGCATAAATGAAAGCTAAAAAAAAAAAGGGAGAGATTCATTACTGTAAAAGGAGTTGTGCAGCTAACTGTGTATCCAGATGAGATGGGTAAGTGATGGAGAGCCCACATGCTCAACTGGTATCCACACTACGTGGATAGATCCTGGAGACTGGGAAAGGTACTGCAGGACTAGATAAGAGCAAATATTGTCTAGATTTAAAAAAAAAAGGAATGGCATCTTCTAACTGGAGGCCAGTGAACTTGGCTCTGATTTCTGGCAAAAGCCTAGAACACATTAAGGGAACAGTTAGTGAACACCTAGAAAAGAATGCCGTGATCACAACCTGAAGCCAGAAGAGGCCATGTCAGGCTAACTTTATTTCCTTTTGTGGCAGGGTTAAATAACCATTCTCAGGGGAATGCTATATTCCTTGATAGGTATAGTCCATCTAGATTTTACTACAGTCTCTTATGCTGTGGACAAGATGGAGCGAAGTAGGTTACAATACAATGAGATCACTTCAAAACTGATTAGAAGGTTAAGTCTAAGAGTAATCATTATTGGTTCAATATCAGCTTGGAAGGAGGTCTCCAGGAAAGTGTCCTAGTGGTCTGTGCTTTGCCCATTGCTATTTAACATTCTGACATGGATAAAGGCATGGATGGTATTGCTATTAGAGCTGTGCTTGATGGATTCAATTTCAAAATTAGAAATGGCACAGAATTGGGAAGGAGAGCTAACAAAGTAGATGAAAGAACTGGGATCCAAAAAAGATTTTGACAGGCTAGAATACTAGGTTGGATCTAATAAGATGAAATTTAATAGGGATAAATATAAAGCTACAAGATATAGACTTTACAAGTACAAGATGAAGGAGTATAGTTAGACTTCACTTTGTCTGAAAAAGATCTGATGGTTTTAGTGAAGCACAAGCTTGATTTGAGTGAGTGGTACAATCTGGCAGCCAATAAAGTTAATTCAGTCTTGGGCTTCATAAAGAGAAGCATAAATTTCAGGAAAATGGAGGCAATGGCTTTGCTGGGCTCAGCCCTCATCATTCTTCACCATGCTGCAAGTAGAGCGCTTCATTTCCAGCACCACACAAGGCAAGTATGGAAGGTGCTGGAGCCAGAGGATGTGGATTCCAATCCCAGCTCTGTGACTTACTACTTATGGGACCTTGAGCAAGTCCCAACCTTTAAAGGCCTCAGTTCCTTCACCTGCAAGATGATGGAGTGAGATTCTATCTTCCTGCTCTAAATCAGAGATCCGAGGACAAGCTTGAGAATGCTCAGAGGAAGGCAGTCAAGACGGTGAAGAGCCGTGGGTTAATGCCAAACAAGGATGCCTGGGGAAACCAGGGATCTTTAGTCTGTCTTCCTAGATCTGAAGGGCTGTTAGTGGATGAGACCGTCCACATGACTTGTCCCCAAAAGGAAGAATGAGTGGAAGTGGCAAAGAAGCAAATGTAGGCTTGATGTTAGGAGATTTGGAGTGGAAGCAGGGAAGGCTTCCAGCACAATGGGCGGACCCCCTGGATGACAGGTGCACAGGACAGGCAGGTCTGGATGGGCTTTGATTTGCACCAGTGACAGGGATTCCAGAATCGCTGAGATCATGGAGCAGTTTGAGTATTTGAAAGTCGAGGGTCAAACAAAAACACTAACTCCCTAGCCATCAGTGCAAGCCCCAAATGGAATGAGATGCCTCGGGAGGTAGCAGGTTGCCCCTCTTTGGAGGTCCTTCAAGCAAAGCCAAGAGAATTGCTTTTCAGGAGCACTGTAGGGAGGACTGTTGGCTTAGATGGCCTCTGAGGTCCCTTCTAACTCTGAAATTCTCTAAGTCAGTGACCTAGAGACGAGAGGTTGGCTGAGGCCCTGGGGAGGATTTATAGGATGACAAAGACCAGAATCACACAAGCTGTGAAGGTTGTATTCTACATCTCGGAAGTAAAAATATATACAACCATGCTATCCCAGATCCACAAAACTACCTAAGTAACTTCCCTTCTTCCCCTCAGGGAGACCCCTCCGCCCCTCCTCCATCACGGGATCAGCCTGCATCTGAAGCATTCAAGGTATGTAAGGCCTGTCCTCAAGCCCACTGGGACATGAGGGCCCTGCCCCTCATGAGGGGCTCTAGCCTTAGAACACTGAGCAGTGTCAGGGCCCCTGGTTCCCAGTGCTGAGAGGGAAGATGGAACAAGCTTCAGGCTGCTGAAGGAAAAGACTCTGGGAGGACGTGAGAGGAGCCGGCAGTCTCCATCATGTTCCTATGCCCAGCGTGCTTCTCTAGAGGCTGCAGGGAGTCTTCCCTTGGGGGAGATGTGGGACTCCCTTGGTTGAGCTGAGTAACCTCGCTCCCTTGGGAGAGCTCCTTCACTCTGTATTGTCTGGTGTCTACTCTCCTATGTAAGCCATCTCCGTTTTGCTATGATTCAGATAAATGGGTTTCTTTGCTACTTTCTATGTGTGTTCATTGTGGAACTGCTATTAGGTAGGAAAGAGGTCAAGTCTTGGACACAGAGCTTGGGGTCTCCCCCTTAAAATGACAAAGTGATTAAAACTTAGATTGAACCCTGTCATCTTCCCTAGACTAATGAGATTTAAGGGACCAGATAAATATAATTCTAGCCTGGTACCCCCCTCTCTCTGGGGAGAGCAGAGTAACTTCTGGCCCCAACTTCCTACTCCTCCTCCTGGCAGGAATTAAAGTCTCTCTTAGAGGAGGGTTGGGGAGAAAGGACTAGATCACTATTCCACCTCCCTTCGAGCCCCAGAAGGACAGCCCTCACCACACATGGCGCTTTCCTTACACATGGTGTCCCATCCCTATAGGTGGCTGTCTATCCTACTCTTGAAAATCCCAGGGATCTGGGGAATCTTTTTATTGTCTACTAACCCTTACACATGTGAAGTTTTTCTTTCTTACTTAAATCATCCTCTTACAATTTGCCACCATTTGTTTTCTCCTGCAAGCAATGATTGATTAGGGATAGAATTTCAAAGATTCAACTTGTCCCAGACAGAAGAGTTACAATGACTTGACTTAAACATGTAAGTGAACCAGAAGGCTCTCCCTGGCCCCAGGGCACAGAGGAAGCCTCTCTGTCTTAGAACTTTAGGACTGATTACTTCCTGAGTTCTTTTGGTGAATCATTCAATGAGACAGAGACAGCCAAAAGTTTTGTCCTGATAAGGATCAATATGAGGCTAAGAGAGGAGTTGTTTTCAGAACAGTCTGATGGTGATTGTCATATGAAGATAAGTTTAACTTGGTGGGAAATGACTCCATAAAGAAAGATTATTATAATTATATGGTACCTATTAAGTGCCAGGCATTGTGCTAAGTGCTTTACAAATATTATCTTATTTGATCTTCACATTAAGCCAGGAAGGTAGGTGCTTGGGGAAACTGAGGCAGACAGAAGTTGAGTGATTTGTCCAGGATCACAAAACCAGTCGGTGTCTGAGGCCAAATGTGAACTGAGGTCTTCCTGACTCCGGGCCAGAGCACTAGCCATTTCAATACCTCACTGCCAATGAGTAAGGACTAAAACCCAAACCAAATCAGTCCTATTTACTCACTTAACAAGTGCAATTGTCAAGCTTGGTTTTCAAGAGAGGGAATGCCATTACTGAATTGCATTAGTGGGTCATCTTGAGCTAAGACATGCAATATTTCTGAGCCCAAAGTTCGAGTGTTGCCATTCTATATTAGCGACCATCATGCAAGTAAGAAGTGGTTCTCTCTCTACTCTGGGAGCAACGCGATGAAAGCCAAGAACCCAGTGGTGCATCTGGGGTTCCTCCCCTTCTGCAGGCAGAAGCAGGTATGGTTGTTGGGGCGCTTACCATGTCTGCTGATGAAGCGGATGCAACTCTCCACTACAAGAGGAATCGCTTGACTCGAGTCCTGAAGGAACAAAGGCAGATGTTGCATTAGAATCCTCCGACAGAGACAGCCTGGGCAAACACGGCAACAAGCATGTTTAAGCACTTACTCTGTGCTGGGCACTGCGCTAAGCTCTGGGCATAAAACCCACAAAAATACAACCCTACCATCAAATGGGGAAAAAACCTATAAACAACTAGGGGGACACAAGACATAGACAGAATAGAGGGAAAACACTGAGAAGGGAAGGCATTAGCGGCTGCAGGGTGAAGAAGATGGGGACTGGGAAAATCCTGGAAGGTTTGGGATTTGAGCTGAGACTTATAGTAAATCAGGGAAACTGAGGCAGAGGTATGGGGGCAGAGGTTCCAGGCATGGGGGAGGGCTAATGCAAAGGCTTGGAGATGGGAGATGGGAACGTCCCATTCGAAAAACTGCAAGCAGGCTAGTGCCAGTGTTGCTAATGGAGAATCCGTAGAAGAGACTGAAGTATAAAAAGACTGGAAAGGTAGCAAAGGGTTAGGTTACGGAGAACTGGAAATGCCAATGGACTTTATACGATAACACCACCAACGAGGACTTACATAGCATTTTAAGGTTTGCAAAAGCACTTCACAAATATCATCTTACTTGATTCTCACAACAAACCAGGGAGGTAATAATAATAACAGCTAACATTTACATAGCACTTAATCTGTGCCAGGCACTGTGCTACGTGCTTTACAATCATTATCTCATTTGATCCTCACAACAACCCTGGGTGGTTAGGTGCTATTATTATCACCCTTGTAGATTAGGAAACGGGTAGACAGAGGTTAATTGGCTTGTCCAGACTGACACATCTAGTAAGTGTCTGAGGCCAGATTTGAACTCCAGTCTTTCTGATTCCAGGTCCAAGGCTCTATCCACTGCCTCACTTTATATTTGATCCTGGAGGTGATGGAAAGTCACTGAAGACCAGTGAGCATTGTGGTGCCATGGTCAGATCTAAGCTTTGACAAATGGCCTTGGCAGTTGAGTGGAGGATGGCAGAGTGGAAAGAGATAGAGGCCCAACCAGCAGGCTATTATAGCAGTCCAGGTGTGAGGTGACAGAAGAGGGCCCATACCAGGTGGGTGGCAGCATCAGAGGAGAGAAGGGAAGCTGTACATGAGAAATGTAGTCAAGGTGAAAATGAAAAGATCTGGCAACCTTTGGGATATATGCGATGGGGAAGAATGAGGAGGCAGGGATGACACTGAGGTTGTGGGCCCGGGTGAAGGGGAGGAAAGTATTGCTCTTCACAGTAATAGGGAAGCTGGGAAGAGTTTTGGAGGAAAGAAAAAGACTTCTAGTTTGGACACACTGAGTTTGAGATTCCTATGGGACATCTAATGTGAGAGGCCAAAGGCAGCTGGAGGTACAGGACTGGACCTCAGGACATAGACTAGACCAGGGAACCATCTGCATAGTGAAAATAACTGAAGCCACAGGAATGGATGAGATCGGGGGGACACCATACTTAGTCAATGTGACATGGATGAAGATCCAGCAAAGGTGACTGAGAAGGAGTAATCAGACCTGTCTGAGGAGGGAATGTCCAAGAGAAGAAGGTGACCAACAGCGTCAGATGCTGCACAGAGAGGTCAAGAAGGATCAGGATCAAGAAGAGCCTATTAGACTGGGACATTAAGAGATCACTGGTAGCTGCGGAGAGGCTACTTTTAGCTGTAGGAGAGGGCCTGAAGCCAGATCGCAGAGGATTTAGAAGAGACTGAGAGGAAGTAGAGGAACCTAATATTGATGTCTTTATCGAGGGATTTAGCCAGGATGAGGAGAAGAGGTGGAGGGTAGTAACAAGTGGGGCATAGTGAGGGGTTTTTAAGGATGGAGGAGACAGGAGCTTTCGTAAGCAGGAGGGATGGAGCAAGTAAACAGGGAGAGATTGAAGATGAAGGAGGGAGCAGAGATGATGGCTACCTGGCTTTAGTAAGGAGAAGGGTTGCCTCTTAATGGAGCTGGAGTGGTGCAGGAAATAGAGGAGGAATATATCTGAGTGATGTGAGATGAAAAGGAGAAAGGAGAGAAGGAGGAGCTTTGGTGAATGGCCTCTGGTTTTTTGGTGAAGAATGAGGAAAGGTCCTTGGCTCATAGGCTGGAGGGAGGGAGTGCCATGAGAGGCTTGAGGACAGATGAGAAGGCCTGGAAAAAAGCCAAGAGTTTAGTGTGTTCTCCACTTATCTCTGCAGAGCTTTGTTGATCACTTGTGGGCAGAGGACGTGCCAACAGGAGCATACCAAAAGGGGTCACTTGTCATTTAAAAAAAAAAACCAGACATGATTTCATTGGCATAGAGAGCTCTTGGTGAAGAACTTCCCCTATTAATGTAGATTGGCAACTGCTTAACAATTTAGAGAGGTGGTTCCTGGGGCACCAAGAAGTTAGTGACCTGCCCAAGGTCAACAGAGACTAAACCGGAACTCAGGTCTTCCTGAGTAGGTTTGCTCTCTATCCACTATGCCATACTGCCTCTCTTAAGGTATAAAGAGGGTCATAAAACTTATCACAAGAGTTGGAAAAGAGCCCAATATATATATATATATATATATATATATATATGTACATGAGGTTTCAGAAGACCCTGACACCAGTCCTTAATCTGATAATCTGCCATATGACTTTGTTATTTTATTTCTCTGGGCCCTAATTCCCCCATCTACAAAATGTGACATGTTGGTCAAGAGACTATGGAGTGAATGTTGGCACAGGGATTTTGTAAGGATAGGAGATGAGAAAATGCTTGGATAAAGGCATTTTAACACATAAACAAGCACGCATGCATACATACACATACATGAATATACAAATATGTAGACAGACATGCCTACATATAAACAAACCCCAAAGTAATGGTATTACAAACCACTAGTTTTCGTTTTTTTGTTTTTTTATCATGGCATCCAAAGCCCTCATTGATTTGGCCCTCATCTACCTTGTCATCTATATTACTCACTGTTCTCTTTCACATATTCCATCTTCCAGCCAAAGCTGGCTACTGGTCAATTCTCCAAACCTGTCCTTGTGCTTTCTCATGTCAGGGCCTTTGTTCTCTGTGCTGTTACTTCTGCTTGGAATGGCATCCACTTTTCCCCCTCCCTAGTTCCACCTAATTCTTACCCATCTTTCCAAGTCCGAGCATGTTCCCTTCTCCCCAAAGACTCCCCTGGATTACCTCTGCCTGATTACTTCTCTGCCTCCTCTGAAATCAAGGAGATAGCACCATGCACCTCTTTATATTGTATAATAACATTCCACTTGATCTTCTTGTTACTTGGGTAGGCCTTATCTACAGGTAGGCAAGGACCATATCTTGTTCCTCTTTGCATCATGGCCAGAGCTTATCATACAACAGATGCTCCATAGATACTTGTTGAATGAATAAGGAAATTAAATGCATACAAAGCCAAGTCTAAGAGAAGGAGTCAGACAGAAGTACTCTCTAGCTGGGAAGAAAGGATAAGGTTTTGACTAGTGAGAAATAAAGAAAGCAGAACTTGGGCCGAAGAGGCCTAGTGGACTCTGTCCATCTCCAGAGATTGCCTACTCCTCTCTCCTGGCTCTAGATACCCAGCTTTACCCATGAATTTGGGCACCAGGAGGGTAGCAGGTGGGTCGTTCCGGGGAGCCAGGCAAAGGGATGGACTGGCGTGGCTCCCAGTTCCCAGGGTGCCAGCAGTGCTGCCAAAGGGTACACTGCCGATGCCAAGGTGGAGCAATAGTCAAGAAGGTCCTAGCAAATGTTTATATTCATGACCCGAAAACCCCATCTGTTCTCCATAGCTTTCCAGCTCCAGGGGCCAACCTATCCTTTGTGTCAGCATCACCAATGACTGCCGATTAGCCCGAAGTGACTGTACATTCCTGGTTCTCCAGCACACACTCAAGGAAGAGTAAGATAAGGGTCCTGTGCCTAAGTCATGGAGGCTTTGGATGGCTCCCCCTTGCCACATCTATCTTCCTCTATCTGCCAAGCTTCTCACCTCCAAAGGTGTGTGTTAATCCTGAGTATGTATCTGGTGTATTTTTGTGATGTGCAAGAGGCACTTGCTTCACTTTAACTGTGAACGCAACTGTGAATGCTTGTTTGCTACTCTCAGTCTGCTGTCTGAACCCACTTTGCTTGTATTACTTGTCAGTGTATCTATCTTGGTTCATGTCCCCTAGGAGCTTAGGGTCTCTGCCTGATGTAACTCTTGTCGTGATACTTTGGGTGATGCCAAATGCAATGAGGTACTTAATAAGACCTTGCTGCTGATGACGTGGGGCTGAGTGGGAGGGAGAGATAAGGTACTCCTTCACACGGAAGTTGTGAAAAAAGTCAATATTATTTCAAAACCAGGGCTATTGCCTAGAATTCTCAGCTAGAGGACCACATCACATGGTTTACAGCTATCCAAATAGGCTAGAGTTGACTAGCCCAAAAATATTTCTCACTAGACTACTCTCTCTAAAGAAATCTACTAAATTCAATGCTCATCCTTTATAATCAGATGGCATCACCTGGCATTTTGCCTGGGTAAGCGGGGGACACTACTTTCCAGGTCTATTACTAAGTAGGCCTCAGTCACCAGGAGGCTAATGGAACCATTTGTTGATGGTTGAAATTTGGAGGTCTCTCTGGTTTCCATTAGTTATTTTGAGAGTTGACCAACAAGGAAATCTTTGACTCAAGTCAAGGATTAGGAACTCTGAATCTGGATGAGTCCATGGAAGAGTTTTTAAAACAGAAATGCTTCCATATGACTCAAAAGGACCTGGGGGGAGGGCTATTGAAAGTAACCCTCAACAGTTACAAGATGGGAATCCTCATTCCTGACCTTCAGATGTATATTGAGAAACCAACTCTTTGCCCAGGTGGAAAAATGATCCTCTCCAGAGGCACATGAGGATGGTCAACTGCGTATTTACACATGTTTCAAGTAGTTCATTGAGAAATTAGGAGCAAATTGAATTTGAAAGCCAGGATGAGTGTTTCCTATTTCCAAGGAGCATAAGATCAAAGGAAATGAGCTTAAAGTACATTAGGAAGGATCCAAGTTAGACAGGAGAATGATATCTTAGGACCCCAGGCAGGACTTCCTGAGTACAAAGCTGGAGTAATGCTGCAAGAGTCTCCTCTAGAAGTATTTAAGAAAGGGATAAGTAAAAGTATGAAAAAGTTTAGCTAAAGGCAGGGGGATGAACTAAATGACTCCCCTTCTCACTCTGGCTGGTTGCTACGACACTAAAGGTCTATGAGGGCTCCTCAATATAACAAAAGCCATTTATTCTTTCATTGGCTGAGCAGTCATAAGTTTACTCTTATTTGTTACTTATCTGGCACAATCTGTCCTCAGTCTCTACTTGTTTGCCTTTTTTAACTAGATCAAACAAATCACTTTTTGAAAAATGCTTTATGAAACCACCACTGGGTTTGAGTTGTCATACAGAAAGTGGGTCAGAAGAACAAAAACAAGGCATTGAGTTATTTGGGATTTAGGGTATATCCTGAAATTCTTACGTAAACCCAGTCCTACACAAACACACTTCTTTAAGTGCTAGGACCACAGCATGACGAAAACTTGATGGGTGACATTCCCACGACAGGGAACCAGCAAAGCAACAGTACATGCTATCTCCCCGCCTGATCTGACTGGTTCCCAATATGAAGCTGTGATGGCTTCCTCTCCTTCGGTCACAACAGTGTCTAAAGGGCTCTGGCACATATGGAATGAAACTGCAAATTCATCACTGTTCTCGCTGGACATAAAAGGACTGTTCTTCCTTCTTCCCAGATAGCTCATCTAGCTCTCTGGTTATTAAATCACTGAGCTCTCAATGCAATCAGTCACCCCTGGAGGAGGCACCCCAGGCTTTGCCATTAACTGAAGTTGCAGGGGCCAGGGAGTGATAATTTACAATAATGGCATCATGAAAAATTTTTAGCACTTCTCCCCAAAAGATCTTAGCTCTATCTGATGGTATTTTCACTAAATTGTGAGCCAAGGGAGAGAAGGAAAAAAAAATCATGGCAGAGATGTGACAAATGAATGGGCCTTATCTTATCCCAAGGCCACACTTGGCTTGCCAAATCATTCTTGGAAAAAGAAAAAAAAATAAGGTCAGATTAAGCCCCAACTTTAACCAGGGTAAGCTGAAATCACTGTGAGAGGGTGCCAGCCCCAAAGAACTACAGAGGGTGTCCCAAAAGTCTTAATGCAGTTTTAAGCTATTAAACCATAAGACTGTATTATAGCTTACAATGGCACTAATACTTTTGGGACACCCTGTATATGGGCAACTTTCAATTACATGTGGGTGGATAATCCATTTTGGATTTATTTATTTATTAACATTTAGAACCATTTTTTTTTTTCCTGTACCCCAGGGCAGTTTTGTTTTTGGTTTTGGTTTTTTTTTTTTTACATTTCATCTTTGTCCCTTTCTCATTAAACCTCTAAGCATCATAGGGTCATGGACACAAAGCTGAAAGGGACCACAGAGGCTATCTAGCCTAACCCTTTTATTTTACAGATGAGGAAAGTAAGGCCAGGAAATATTAAGTGACTTGGTAACAGTGCCACAATTCAAACCCAGGTTCTCTGAGTCTTGAGCCAGAAAATACAAATTCATTTCAATTTAACTTTAAAAATGACTGTAGTGACAAATCTTCTCCTGCTGGAATGATGATGATGATAATACATCGTATTCCAAAGACAAACAGAACTTTTGGAGTATCCATATCACTGCCTCCTAATATGAAGACCAATGGTTGGGAAGACCTGAGTTGAAATCCTGCCTCAGGATACTTACTAGCTAGGTGACCCTGAACAAATCACTTAACCCCAGTTTGTAAACTGTAAAATGGGGACAATAAAAGCACCTACCTCCCACAGTTGTTATAAGGATCAAATGAAATAACACACATAAAACACTCTGCAAAGTACTATATAAATGCTAGCTATTACTATTAATAGTAGTATTGTTGGTTATTATTACTGTTACTATTATTATAACTGAGAGTTGACTGCCCAGTCGAAAAGTTGAGTACAATAGTAAGGAATTAGAGCGAGACAGTGAGAAGCCAATTTCCTTGTACTCGAGCATCACATTCCTCCCTGTAGACCTAACATGCTTAAAAATACTCTCTGTGCTTGCCATCAAAAGACAGCAAAATTAGAATTGAAAAAAAAAAACCATAAATGTCAAACTAAATATAAAAACTAGAGCATGTGTTTAGATTCTATATGATCACAAACACATACAATCTGGCACTAGAAGGGACCTTAGCGGTCTTTTAATCTAACTCCTTCATTTTATAGATGAAAAGATGGAAGTCAAGTGACAGGCCCAAGATCCCACGGAAGGGTAGTGGCACTTGTGATAGGTGTGGCCTGATCATCACACAACATCGCAGAGGGGTGATGCTGTGCACGCTCTTTGGTGTGGTAAATTGCTAGTGCTTAATCATTTAATCAAGTTCCTGGTGCTTCCAGAGAAGAGCAAGGGATTTAGATAAGGGCAGACAGGCCAGGACACAATTATCACCACAACTGAAGCCATTAATAAAAACAGCATTTCATGGTGAATATATCCCATCTATTCTCTCTCTATATATGTATGTCTGTATATGTATGTATGTATATATGTACATGTATATACACACATATATACATATACATACATACATACATGTGTGTGTGTATATGTGTATACACACACACACATACACATATATATACGGAAACAGGTCCATAACTCTGACTTTCACTAAAGTTCTCTGATGCCTCATTGTGGTGTCAGGCTGGACATGGGTTCTTTAAAGACAATTTAGGCAGAGCACCCAAAAGTCCTCCCAAATGGAAACATCTTCAAGTACAGTCATGAAATGCCAATCTGTCTTCCAAGGACTGACCTAAGTAAATGGGGAAAGGCTATTCCCAGGGATGTAGCTATCACATGGTGAATTTTTTCAAGTACAGTAATGGAAAAAAAATCTAAGGCATAGATAGGTTGCATGATGCATCAGAGTAGTGCATCTATTAGCTGGCAAAGTAAATATAATTGGCAGTGAGGTGTTGGACTTGGGGTTGGGAAGACCTCAGTTTAAATCCTGACACACTTACAATCTGTGTGACCCTGGACAAATCACTTAACCCTTTAGAGCCTCAGTTTTCTCATCTGTAAAATGAAGATAATAATAGTACCTACATCATAGGGCTATTGTGAGGATCAAATGAAATAACATATAAAAAGTACTTTTTTAAAAAGTTACTGTTATGGAAATGCTTGTTTCGTTCCACAAATAAAAATAAAATAAATAAAAATTTGAAAGAAAAAAAGAGAAAGTACTTAGCAAACCTTAAAGTGCCAAACAAATGCTACCCATCATCATCATCATCGTGCCCACACTGCTGAAATCCCTGGTCCATTAAGTATTCAAATTGAGTATGACCATAAACATTCTCCCTGAGCAGGGAGGGAAGGTCTCTTAACTGGGCAGAGCCAGAGAAGGACCACGCTCGTTGGTGCTCAAACACAGGTCACCCCCAGCCCCCAGCCCCTACTGGAGGTCCTTACCTGTTTCCTTATTGTTGAGCTCCGTTGGCTGTGGGGCCCGACCAGCCCATAATAACCAATCCAGAAGTGGAAGAGAAAGAAAAAAGGGGAAAAGGTAAGAAGGATGAGGTATTCCAAAGACTGGTGCAAAACTTTATTCCATCCCTGAGGAGGAAGCTGTTATCCAACTTAGGGGAAAGCAGATGAGGAAGTCTATGGGGTACTTCTGGATGCTCCTAACCCCTCCACCAGCACAGGCTCATCTCTCACCCGGTTCCAATCTACTCTAGAATTCACTTACTGACTTCTCTACCAGGCCTCAGGAAGCTCATGATGGGCATGCCCCATCATCCTTCCAGGTCTCATCGGCTTGGTCCTCGGCCTTCTCACGGCCCTGTGCCCCTCTGACTGAAGGGGGGCTATGAACTCCAAACCTTCACGAAGGAGAGCTCTGCTCAGACATCCCATTCCTCACTTGGCTGCTCTACTTTGGGACTTCTCTGACAGATTTCTCCACCACGGTCCTTGGGGGCAAGGAACCCACCCCTGAGCCAGCACTTAGCACAGTGCCTGGCACATCTTGTTGTTGTTCAGTCATTTTTTAGTTGTGTCTGACTCTTTATGACCCCATTTGGGGTTTTCTTGGCAAAGATACTAGAATGATTTGCCATTTTCCTTCTCCAGCTCATTTCACAGATGAGGAGACTGAGGCAAATAGATACAGCCCAGGGCCACATAGCTGGTAAGTGTCCGAGGCTGGATTTGAACTCAAGTCTTACTGTCTCCTGGCCCAGTGCTCCATCCACTGCACCACCTAGCTGCAGGGGCTTAATAAATGTTCACTGACCTCGGATTTGACTAGGCTCCTCCTGTTTCCATGACCTGAAATGCTATCATTCTAAATTCAAGATGAGAAAACAGGCAAAGCTCTACTTGCAGGAGTAGAACTTCCGATTTGTAAGAACTGAGAGACCCTGGGATTTGTAACCATAGAAGGCTGCAGAATCCACTCCTCTGGAAATTTTAAAGAAGATAGGCAGCTGTGTTTCTGGCTGTCAGTGCTGCTGGAAGGCAGGGGAGTGAGCTAGAGCAGAGATCCTTGCTGACCACAAATTGACTTAAAAACCACAAATTAACATCATCTCTTTTTTATTGTATTTTATTTACTTTGTTAAGCATTTCCCAATTACATTTTAGTCTGGTTAGGGTACAACTCCAGAGTTTTGGGGGTCACAGGCATCCTTGAGTCAGACCCCTGTGCCAGATGACCCTCTGAGGGTCCCTTCTAATTTAAGGAGCTCAGGCAGGCTTGTTCTAATCTTTGATCCCTCTCTCACAACACATTTTAAGAAACTCCCTCACCCTGTTTCCTTCCACTTAGAGAGATTAGTATTATTAACAGAATCTTCACTATAATCCATACTGAAAAAAGATGACAGCCAAATGAAGCGATTTCTAAATAATGGGTCCATAATTACAAATGACCTTTGGATTATTGTTTGTGTTGGCAGATACTAGCAGCTGATATGATGGGCTGAAACAGGAGTCCCCAAGGAGGCCTGCCCATTAAAGCTCTTTTCACTGTTTAAATCAGCATGCTTCCAGGCATCTGAGGACTATCAACCTTGAGAAAGGTAGGAACCTGAAAGGTAGGAACCTATCAAGAGCTACAACTTGGCAAATCGATATTTCCTGGGGAGGTCTCTAGAGCTTCCTCAGGGCACTGGAGTCACTCAGAAGGCTTCAAAGAAGGCCCAATTTCTACTCAAAGTTGCTGCTTTGTTCTGAAGAATATTTCAGTATTGGCAATTAGCCACTAATCAAGATCTGCATTCTTTTTCAGTCCATGAGAAATGTACTCAGAGACAAAGCTTCTTTCCAGATCTACTTTCTGGGTGACAGAAGCAGCCTCGACCCATCGTTCTGGTCCTGCGATCCCCAAAGCTGATGCTAGGCCACCCGGATGTTCTGGCATCTTGTCTTTCCTACACAGGCTATTTCTGGGACTTCCTTTCATTGCATCCTTCTCTATCTAAGACTCTCTGAGCATTCCAGTTCCATTTCAGACCAGATGGGGTCAGCAGGACAGAGAGAAAGAAGGGCCCTCCTTTGTAAAGTCAGCACAGCTCCCTGGCTCTTTCTCAGACTAAGAACAGTCCACTGCCCACCTAGCCAATGTTCCCAGCCTCTCCCTCCCCTCTAACCCTGCCCAGGGCTGTCCCCAGCCACACCTACCTGGCCAAAGAGCAGTCTGTCCGCTGACCTGCAGGAAAGACAAAAGATCTATGTTGGAGGGTGAGGCACTGGGCAGGGAAGAAGGTCAGAAGCCAGATTCTGGCGGAAGGAGCTGAACCACATTTGAGTGGGAAGGTCAAAGCCTGGTGGTTGAGGGGAGAGGAAGACAGTAGCTCTGGACAAGAACTCTGAGCTTGCTCCCCAGAGTCCCCAGCACAAGGGAGCCTCCCCCAGGGCAGGAAATGTGGAAAAACAGCCCAGGCTCCTCTGCCTGGGCAAGGCCTGTTCCCAAGATGGGCTTCCAGGGTGTGAGCCCCTAGGTCCTCGGTCTACAATCCCTACGCTTCCTAGCTAAAGAGAAGGGACTGGGGGACTGGGAGTGAAGACAGACAGAGTCCATGTGGCTGGAAGAAAAATCAGAAGCTCATCCTGGAGTGGGAATCCTTGTTGACTGGCAAATCCTTGTTGACTGGGGCATTCTAGGTTGTTGGCCAGAGGTGGGCAGTTAGGAGAGTGGAGTGTAGCTTTTAGCTTCTACATTTATTTCAATTCAACCCAACAACCTGACGAGATGAGTGGGAAAAGGCACTGTCAGCACGGCCAGATAAGCTCTACTTAAAACCATCTCCTAGACTGTTAGGCATAGAGAGGGCAGACCCTTTAAACACATCCCTGAGCCAGGACAGGAATGATCAGCCTCCCACACTCCTTCCCACTCTAAGAAAGGCTTCTGAAAGGAGCAAAGGCGGCTGGGGGATTTGCTCTCAAATCCCTCCCCACCACCTTAAAGGTGGCTAATTGTTGATTAGAGTTAAACATGTCTTACACAGCCCCTTCCCCCTCCTGACACCAACCTCTCATCTGCAAAAATATTATTCTGAGCCATTATTTTCAACATCTGTCCCATTTCCACCCTGGAATATTCATACACATCAATTATCCCTCAGTGGCAACAAGAGCACTTGCATTTATGGTGACAAATACATGTAGAAGCCAGAAACACAATGACTTGCAGATAGGAAAATCTGCTATTTTTTTTAAATTGCTGGGACTTGTCATCTTTAGATTAAGGTAATTTGCAAAAATAATAAATGGTCACCCATCCTTTTCCCATACTCGATACAGTCGGTATGTGTGTAGACATACGCCTTACGGTCATGGACTGGCTTCAGCCAATAAGGCGATATCTAGAGCTGCTCAGAATGTGCTTGCCCTAAGGAAATCACAGTTTTAGCATGCTGATGATAGAAGCAAGCCTTCTTTCTCTCTGACACCCCAGGAGTAATCTAATATCCTAGGAGCAAAGGCTTTCTGGAAACAGAGATTGGCTCCTGACATCCAAACCAGATCAGCTCCTCGGGTGGGTGGATGGGGATGCCCAAAGTGAGACACTGAGAGGGCGCAGAGTGGGCTAACTGGCTTTGGTCACAGAGCAGAAAACGTTTCAAAATCTTGAGCAAAGGAGGTGGATGTGCCTTTAATTTTGGGGGGTGGCTGAGGGTATATGTGTGCACGTACCTGTGTATATGTAGTATGTGTGCACTTGTATGTGGTATGTACATACCAGTGTGTATGTGTATTGTGTGTGCACACCAGTGTATATGTGTATTATGTGTTGCATGTGCCTGTATGTGCTACATGCAACTGGTGTAAATACGTGTATTATATGTGTGTGCTTTCGTGTATGTGGCATGTGCACACCATTGTGTATATGTGTATTGTATGTGTTGTGTGGGCCTGTGTGTATGTGGCACGTGCACACTGGTGTATATAGGTGTATTTTGTGTGTTTGTGTGTGTGTATACACACACTATCCCGTATAGTATATTACACAGTATATTTTTAAAGGAATGGCTCACACTCTGTAGGTCAGTCTCAGGGAAGACTCAAGAAGACCTGTATGAATGAATGCAGTTCTGCCCTTGGCAGGAGTGAAGAATTCAAACCCCATGTTCTGTGATCTGCTGTGATCTACCCTCTTTATTCTTGATCTATTCCTAACTCGGGAGAATAAAGAAACAGAGAAAAAAAAACGGAGCATGACGTTCAGAGGCATCTCAAGCCTGGGAATCCCTATTAGTCACAGGAAGCTGGGGGCCAGCATGAGGCGAGGCCAAGGAGCTGGGCAGAGGGCCAACCCCGCCTTCCCCCCCTCCCAGGGACACTCCTTTACCTTTCTCTTCTCTGCTTGTCAGCTGTGCGGAGAAAGTCCAGGGGGTCTGCCCAGAATCCCGCCTTGCTACTTTCTGGGGATCTGGCTTGGGTCACCTTATGACACAACTCAGGCTCACTGCTGCCTGTGCCCTGGGACCCAAAGCAGGGGCAACGATGCTCGGCAAACAGCGACTTCTCATGCTAATATGCAGGCTGTCCCAAAGCATGGAGCATTCTGCCCTTGCTTTCTCCGCCCCGCCTCTGGAACGCCCGCTGCTTTCTGTAGAGGGCCCACCCAAAGGATCATCTGGGACACGAGATGTGCATTTGGGAGCTCCAGTTTCCAAACTTTCTTGCACCCAGCTCAGCACTGCATGGAAGATGCAGCCTCTCTAACGAAGCACTGGGATGATAAATAATCAATCAGCCTCCTTACTCTAACTGTGGCAGAGGAGGCCAAGGGGGGTGGGTGGAGAGCGAGCATGCTCCATTTAAACAAATAGATGATGCCCATTAATGCTTCATTAAACATTCCCCTTTTGCTCAAGCAGTCATTTGCAAGGGGGATTTGGAAGAGGGGGAGGGGGGAGGAGACATTGCTCCTGTATCAAACAGACTAGATGCCCATTTTGCACAGCTTGGCTGGGATTGGGGCATAAAGTCCACCACTTAATTCAGTAAGGCCTAGGACCAACCCCTCCCCCACAGCCAAACCACTAGCATGGTCCTGCTCGCCTGTACTCACTTTCTCCCAGGGTTTTTTGAAGAAGGTCATGCTTGGCCTGAAGTTTGGTGATGAGGTTCCTGCCCTCCAAATACTCCTTCATTTTCTGTGAGGGAGAGGAAGAGGAGAGAAACAATCAAACCAGACCAGAGGAAGAAAAAAAGAAATCAAACCAGCCCAGCTACAGGAATCACTTTAAAAAGTCCTCCTTTGTCCTCTGGTTTTTTTGTTTTGTTTTTAACTTCTTGAGGCCCTAGGAACAGGGGCCAGTGCTTACATGGCACAAACAGGCTCCAGGTCTGTTTTTCTGGGCCCATGCTTACTGTATTCCCTCCCTTTCTAAGGCCTCTTAGATTTCTCTCCTCCATTTCTTGCTTCAGCTTCCTCAGAGGAAAGAGCAGAAAGACCTAGCTGAATTCAGCCAATCTTCTCCACGTATGTGTGAGGACACACATCTGTCACTTGTTACAGCTGCTGCAATCCAGTACTCCACCCCACTCCACCCCCAGTCCCAGCCCAAGTTCCAAAGCACACATTCCAATGCACCAGGAGGGACCCCAAACACAGGCCCTGCCTCTGCCCCAATTACAAGTTTGGGATGCAAAGCATCTTCGTCTGAGGTCATATCCCAATCAGCTTCTTTCTCTTGCCTGGCCTCCTCCTTCCCCTAGCCTGCATTTAGACTCTTTGTGGAAGGCTTGGAATTTCTTGGCATTTTCAGGGAGGGGCTGAGGCCCTTCCCCCTCCCAGTTCTAGACGCAAGATGAGGTTATGGAAATGAATTCTGCTCTAACAAGCAGAAGATAACTACTGTGCTGTGCTCAGATTTACCCTCTCTCATCTTATACCCCCCCCCTCCCCAATGACTACTATATTTCCCTGAGCCCTGGAAGTTATAGTGAGTGGATGGTACAGCACAGGACAAAACCTGGAACTCACTCAGATATGCCCTGATCACCTTTTTCTAATCTGGGCCAGCAGCCATCAGTTTTTGTTTTTTTTCTTTTCTTTCCATGACAGGCACTGTTTTCAAATCTAAAATTATTACCCTCGTTCTGGATGTTTCTGGCCTCCATTTTTCTAAAGGATGCTCTCAGGTTGGACAGACAGCCTACACTGCTCTAGTCATCACTTAGCTGAGAGCCTGTCCCTGAACCACTTTCAAGGTTGGCTGTTCCAGCTTCCAAAGCCCCAGAGAGGATCTGCCCTCTCTCTGAAGTCACCCACATCCCATTCTGCAGCTTCCTTCCCCTGAAGGCTCTAACACAAGGAGCTGGCAGGGAGAGGTATTAATGACAGGCTTCGCTCTGAAGCATTTGGAAAATGGGCTGCTCATTACTTCTCAGATTCCCTCCTGACTTCGAAGAACAGAGCTGGGAAAAGGGAAGAATGAAACAGGGCACAAGCCCGGTGGGACAGGCCAGTGATTCCCAGCCAGCCTTAAGGATTTAGCTCTCTCTGAAATTCTGGCTCAGTATTTTAGGTAGAGGCAGGGAAAAAAAGAAAGAAAAAAGGTATTGGGTTTCTTTTGGTGCAACGCCCTTGTTACCTGGAAATGGTGACATTGGCCTATTTCAGCAGGCCATGAACTAAGAAATGGAGGCAGCTTTGGAATAGTAAAGCCCTGGGTTTGGGGTCAGAAATCCTAGGGTGGAGTTCAGGGGACGGGACCTTCTACTTGTCTGGCTTGGAGTAAATGTCTGTGTAATTGAATTGAACTGAATTTACTTCATGGAGTCCTGACTTACTTATTAGCCTTTCAGAGCTTTAGTTCATAGGATCACAGCTGTAAACTTGGGCGGGACCTTAGGGCTTACCCCTTTCAACTTATGTGACTGGACCAACGTCACACAAGCATGAAGCAGCACTGCTGGACTTCAGACTTGGGACTCCAAATCCTGCCCCCTTCTCACTGCACAAAGCCGCTCTGCTTGAGTCTCCTTCTTTTTGGGATGGAAGGGAACAGGGAAGCTAGGGCTGTGAGGTTCTGCATCAGTGATGTCTTGGGCATAAGGAATTCCCAGGGAGGAAACTCCTTTTGCCAATGCAGATTTTACCGACACAGAGTCTTGAGGAAGAATTTTCTCTACTACTATGGGTTAGCAACGGCTCTTAGGGGTCGCCTGGAGACCCTGAGAGTTTAGTGTCTGGTCCAGAATGACACAGCCAGCTATGGGCCGGGGAAGGAGGGGCGGTGTGTGAGGAACTGAACTCAGATATTCCTGACTTCACGGCAGGCTGCCCATCCACTGCCCCAGACTGCCTGTTTCGTTGCTGAGATGCCTATGCTACCCCTCACACGCTGACCTCCTATCCATGACTTCCTTAGCTCTGCGCTGAAGAACCTTCCATGGCTCCCAGGGCTCAGAGGATACAAAGCAGAGCACAATCTGGCTCCCACCAGCCTTACCCCCCTCACTTCACACTTTCTGTTTCACAAGCTTTACATTTCAACCAGACTGGACTAGTAGCTGTCCCTCCAGATCTCTCCCTCTCAGAATCCTCAGCTCAGATACCACCTCCTCCCAGAAGTCTTCTATCTCCTTGCCCTTACCTGTTTTAGCGTTCTCTCTTATTCTCTCCTTCCTACATTTAGCAGTAGCTGCAGCAGTGACATCCCTTACATTTATAAAGCACTTGAAGATTCTAAAAGTGTGTTACAAAGATAACCTCATTTGATCCTCACAACAACCCTGGGAGGAAGGTGCTATTATTATCCTCATCTGAGGCAGGCAGAGGTGAAGTGACTTGGCTAGGATAACACAGCGTCCAAGTATCTAAGACCACATTTGAACTCAAGTCTTCTACTTTGCTAACTAGCTACAAGTCATACCCCTCTGCTCCCCAACCCAGTAGAATATCAGCTCCCTTTGGACAGGGGCTCTGTGTGTGTGTGTGTGTGTCCTCAGAACCTTGCACGTAGTAGGGTGAATTGAACTGAAAGTATTTTATGAATTGTGTGTGCATTATATTGAGCAATTTATAGCTTTTTACTCTGTGTTCCCTCCTTGTACCTGGCAGGATATATCTGCCTAATTCAGAGGTCAGAGAGGCAGCAGGCCTTAGGAGGCAGAGCGCTAGACCCGGAGCTGGAAACCCTTGAATTGAAAGCTTGACCTCTAACTTCCGCGTCTTCATCTGTAAAACGGGGATAGGAACACTATGAAATGCATTTACATACCTATCAACTAGTACAGGTCCAGGCAATCTATAATTGGGTAACAATTTTTTCTCTAGTGTACTAACTAGTTCATATGAAGCTTGTGATCTTGACCTCATTATTAGCATGTTCTAAACCCGGGCTTCTTAAACTTTTTCTACTCTTAATTCCTTCATGGCTTTTTGAACTGTGGGTCATGACCCCACATGGGGTCTAGACCAGCTGTAAACAATTCTGTTATTTAATTCAGTGTGACTCCCAAAGGGGCCTGAGCTGAGGGGATCAAGAGAAGGGCAAAGCAGGTCCTGGTCCCGGCATTCTGCTGTATATGTGGCCCTGGGGGAAGGTCCTTAACTTCCCTGGGCCTCAGTTTAGTGAGGAGGGTATGTATATTTGAGATACTAAGACTCCTGAAATCCTTTTAAAGTACTCTCTGATTTTCTCCCATAAATGTTTGTGAGGATATACAAGATAACTCTAAACACCCTGAAAGGTCAACCCCTTCACCTTGTTTTTGTATCTTTAAAGGACCTCCTAAGCACCGTGCTATGTGCACAAAATAAATATTTGTTGAATGTTTGAATCAATCTGTGGGGAAGTGTATTATGCTTTTCAGAGTAAGCATGTGCCCCCAAACATAAGGAAGGCCTAGCAGGCATCTGGGATCCAAGTTCATTTGATCCCTGTAGACTGTCTCTGCAGCAGGGACAGTCCCAATGAGATGCCAGGGAAAGTAGTATGGAAAGCTAATCTCTGAGGAGGGAGGGTCAGGCTCAGCCCCCAAAGCCAGGGGGCTGTTCTTGTTGTCAGCTATTCTATGCTCCTACACTCCCCAGGACAGACTTCTCTTAGGTTCAGAGATGAGGGCTTTAGGAGTCATCTACTCCAACCCCCTTATTTTACAGATGAAGAAACTGAGGACCAGAAAGGACAAATGATTTGCACAAACTCCCCCAGGATATGAACTCAGGTCCTCTCAAATCCAGACCCAGCATTCCTTCCACTGTAGCACACCCTGACTTTGTCAGTAATTCCAAGCCAACCAAGTTAGAATGCTTCAAGCCCTTTCCTTCCCTCAATTCATTTAGAGACTGTAGCGCTATCACGAGGCAGCAGCAAGGTGGTTCAGTGGATAGATTCCTGGGCCTGGAGTGAGGCAGACCTGAATTCAAATTAGGCCTCAGACACTTACTAGCTGTGTGACTTTGGGCAAGACACTTAACCTCTATTTGCCTTTATAGGAAATGGTAAACTACTCTACTATCTTTGCCAAGAAAACCCCATGGACAGCATATAGTCCACAGGGTCACTTCTGGAGCAGGTAGGTGAACAGAGTAGTGAACAGAGTGCCAGGCCTGGAGTCAGAAAGACCGGAGTTCAAATCCAGTCTCTGACACTTACTAGCTATGTGACCCTGAGTAAGTCACTTCACCCTGTTTGCCTCAGTTTCCTCATCTGTAAAATGAGCTGGAAAAGGAAATGGAAAACCACTCCAGTATCCTTGCCAAGAAAAGCCCAAAAGGGGTCAGGAGTAGTAGGACACCACTTAAAACCACTCAACAACAACAAAAAGTGCTGCCCAGATCATTTCCAGCTTGTGCCCCCAGGCCCCTCTGTGTTCCCGCTCGGGGAACATCTGCATGAAAACAGGTTCGTCTGTTGGCTTCCTAGCTCCATCTGGCCTCACCGCTAGCTCTTCCACCTGCTGTCAGTCTTTCCTGGGTGATATCCTAATCATCAACTGGTGCCTAATTGTGAGGCCTGGAAGAACAGCTTAGGGCCCAGAGGTGAGGAATCCATAGCAAATGTCCCGGAGCTAACCCTCCCCCCTGCCCCCTCCCCCAAGCCCCTTCTCCGACACATTTACCCAGGAGACTGGGAAAGCTCTATAATGAGGAAACACTCACCAAGAAGCTGAAACCCCAAGCAGTCTGACTGCTTAGAAA